TTTGAAAAAATCCAAAAAAAACGTCATATTTTGAAAACTACAAAGATTTGAGCAGCCATATTCAAAGGCAAGATTCGCAACCCCTGATAGTACCCTCACAAGTTCCAATAAGAGGATTGAAATCTTCAAAGTTTTGGAATTTTTTAACATTTAATTTTTTTAGAAAATTTTGGAGAAAATCATCAAAAACGTCATATCTCGAAAACTACCAGGATTTGAGCAGTCATATTTGGAGGCAAATAACGAAGTCATATTGGGAGGCAAAATTCTTAGTTCCTGAGAGTACTCTGACAGAGCCTCACTACAGAGATGGTAATTTCAAGTTTTGTGAAACTTTTAATATCTAAATTTTTTGAAAAATTTTTGAAAAAAATCCAAAAAAAAAACGTCATATTTTGAAAACTACAACGATTTGAGCAGCCATATTCAAAAGCAAGATTCGCAACCCCTTAGAGTACCCTCACAGATTCCAATAAAAGGATTGAAATTTTCAAAGTTTTGGAATTTTTTAACATTTGAGTTTTTTAGAAAATTTTGGAGAAAATCATCAAAAACGTCATATCTCGAAAACTACCAGGATTTGAGCAGTCATATTTGGAGGCAAATAACGCAGTCCTATTGGGAGTTAAAATTCTTAGTTCCTGAGAGTACTCTGACAGAGCCTCACTACAGAGATGATAATTTCAAGTTTTGCGAAATTTTTTATACGTTAGTTTTCGGAAAAATTTTGAAAAATCCTAAAAAAAAACGTCATATCTCAAAAACTACAAAAATTTGAGCAGCCATATTCAGAGGCAAGATTGGCAACTCCCTGAGATTACCCTCACAGATTCCAATAACAGGATTGAAATCTTCAAAGGTTTGGAATTTTTTAACATTTAAGTTTTTTTAGAAAATTTTGGAGAAAATCATCAAAAACGTCTTATCTCGAAAATTATCTGGATTTGAGCAGTCATATTGGGCGACAAATTTCTTAACTCCTGAGAGTACCCTGGCAGAGCCTCACTACAGAGATGGTAATTTCAAGTTTTGTGAAACTTTTTATATCTAAATTTTTTGAAAATTTTTTTAAAAAAAATCCAAAAAAAACGTCATATTTTGAAAACTACAAAGATTTGAGCAGCCATATTCAAAGGCAAAACTCGCAACCCCTGAGAGTTTCCTCACAGATTCCAATAACAGGATTGAAATCTTCAAAGTTTTGGAATTTTTTAATATTTATTTTTTTTAGAAAATTTTGGAGAAAATCATCAAAAACGTCATATCTCGAAATCTACCAGGATTTGAGCAGTCATATTTGGAGGCAAATAAGGCAGTCCTATTGGGAGGCAAAATTCTTAGTTCCTGAGAGTACTCTGACAGAGCCTCACTACAGAGATGATAAATTCAAGTTTTGCGAAATTTTTTATACGTTAGTTTTCGGAAAAATTTTGAAAAAATCCTGAAAAAAACGTCATATCTCGAAAACTACAAAATTTGAGCAGACATATTCAAAGGCAAAACTCGCAACCCCTGAGAGTACCCTCACAGATTCCAATAACAGGATTGAAATCTTCAAAGTTTTGGAATTTTTTAACATTTATTTTTTTTAGAAAATTTTGGAGAAAATCATCAAAAACGTCATATCTCGAAATCTACCAGGATTTGAGCAGTCATATTTGGAGGCAAATAACGCAGTCCTATTGGGAGGCAAAATTCTTAGTTCCTGAGAGTACTCTGACAGAGCCTCACTACAGAGATGATAAATTCAAGTTTTGCGAAATTTTTTATACATTGGTTTTCGGAAAAACTTTGAAAAAATCCTGAAAAAAACGTCATATCTCGAAAACTACAAAAATTTGAGCAGCCATATTCAGAGGCAAGATTCGCAACTCCCTGAGATTACCCTCACAGATTCCAATTACAGGATTGAAATCTTCAAAGTTTTGGAATTTTTTAACATTTAAGTTTTTTAGAAAATTTTGGAGAAAATCATCAAAAACGTCATATCTCGAAAACTACCAGGATTTGAGCAGTCATATTTGGAGGCAAATAACGCAGTCCTATTGGGAGGCAAAATTCTTAGTTCCTGAGAGTACTCTGACAGAGCCTCACTACAGAGATGATAAATTCAAGTTTTGCGAAATTTTTTATACATTGGTTTTCGGAAAAATTTTGAAAAAATCCTGAAAAAAACGTCATATCTCGAAAACTACAAAAATTTGAGCAGCCATATTCAGAGGCAAGATTCGCAACTCCCTGAGATTACCCTCACAGATTCCAATTACAGGATTGAAATCTTCAAAGTTTTGGAATTTTTTAACATTTAAGTTTTTTTAGAAAATTTTGGAGAAAATCATCAAAAACGTCTTATCTCGAAAATTATCTGGATTTGAGCAGTCATATTGGGCGACGAATTTCTTAACTCCTGAGAGTACCCTGGCAGAGCCTCACTACAGAGATGGTAATTTCAAGTTTTGTGAAACTTTTTATATCTAAATTTTTTGAAAAACTTTTTTAAAAAAATCCAAAAAAAACGTCATATTTTGAAAACTACAAAGATTTGCGCAGCCATATTCAAAGGCAAAACTCGCAACCCCTGAGAGTACCCTCACAGATTCCAATAACAGGATTGAAATCATCAAAGTTTTGGAATTTTTTAACATTTATTTTTTTTAGAAAATTTTGGAGAAAATCATCAAAAACGTCATATCTCGAAATCTACCAGGATTTGAGCAGTCATATTTGGAGGCAAATAAGGCAGTCCCATTGGGAGGCAAAATTCTTAGTTCCTGAGAGTACTCTGACAGAGCCTCACTACAGAGATGATAAATTCAAGTTTTGCGAAATTTTTTATACGTTGGTTTTCGGAAAAATTTTTAAAAAATCCTGAAAAAAACGTCATATCTCGAAAACTACAAAATTTGAGCAGCCATATTCAAAGGCAAAACTCGCAACCCCTGAGAGTACCCTCACAGATTCCAATAACAGGATTGAAATCTTCAAAGTTTTGGAATTTTTTAACATTTATTTTTTTTAGAAAATTTTGGAGAAAATCATCAAAAACGTCATATCTCGAAATCTACCAGGATTTGAGCAGTCATATTTGGAGGCAAATAACGCAGTCCTATTGGGAGGCAAAATTCTTAGTTCCTGAGAGTACTCTGACAGAGCCTCACTACAGAGATGATAAATTCAAGTTTTGCGAAATTTTTTATACATTGGTTTTCGGAAAAATTTTGAAAAAATCCTGAAAAAAACGTCATATCTCGAAAACTACAAAAATTTGAGCAGCCATATTCAGAGGCAAGATTCGCAACTCCCTGAGATTACCCTCACAGATTCCAATTACAGGATTGAAATCTGCAAATTTTTGGAATTTTTTAACATTTAAGTTTTTCAGAAAAATTTGGAGAAAATCATTAAAAAAACGTCTTATCTCGAAAATTATCAGGATTTGAGTAGTCATATTGGGCGACAAAATTGTTAACTCCTGAGAGTACCCTGGCAGAGCCTCACTACAGAGATGGTAATTTCAAGTTTTGTGAAACTTTTTATATCTAAATTTTTTGAAAAAAATTTGAAAAAAATCCAAAAAAAACGTCTTATTTTGAAAACTACAAAGATTTGAGCAGCCATATTCAAAGGCAAGATTCGCAACCCCTGATAGTACCCTCACAAATTCCAATAACAGGATTGAAATCTTCAAAGTTTTGGAATTTTTTAACATTTAAGTTTTTTAGAAAATTTTGGAGAAAATCATCAAAAACGTCATATCTCGAAAACTACCAGGATTTGAGCAGTCATATTTGGAGGCAAATAACGAAGTCTTATTGGGAGGCAAAATTCTTAGTTCTTGAGAGTACTCTGACAGAGCCTCACTACAGAGATAGTAATTTCAAGTTTTGTGAAACTTTTTATATCTAAATTGTTTGAAAAAATTTTGAAAAAAATCCAAAAAAAAACGTCATATTTTGAAACTACAACGATTTGAGCAGCCATATTCAAAGGCAAGACTCGCAACCCCTGAGAGTACCATCACAAGGTCCAACACTAGGATTGAGATTTTCAACTTTTTGGAATTTTTTAAAATCTAAGTTTTTGAAAATTTTTTTGAAAAAATCATAAGAAACGTAATATCTCGAAAACTACAAGGATTTGAGAAGTGAGAATTGAAGGCAAGATTCGCAACCCCTCCGAGTACCCTGGGTGTTGCAAAACATGCAAAAATAACACGTTGAAAAAGCTTAAACATGGCGAGATAGTGAAGCCCGCATTTAAATATATAATAGATAGATAGATAATAGATGAAAGTCAAAAAATTAGGCGACGCGTAGACAGACAATCAAATTAATTAAAAAAGCAGGTATACAGACAGACAGACAAACTTACTTTGGCCTCGAAAAGAAATACTGACAAATTAATGACCTTGCAAGAAACTAATTGAAAAATTTTCTAAAGCATTGCAATATATGCTATAGCTTTAACATGAAAAAACTCTTTCGTTAAACATGCAAAATTATTATGCTTAAACATGGGAGATAGCTGTCACTCGCATTTAAATATAGTATAGATAACTTGTTGAATAAATGAAGATGTTCCTTGATTGACTGATTACCGGAAACTTTTGGTGCATAACGAATTTAGTTGGGTAGACCAACCTCAATTTGAGAGGTGGGATCTTGGAGAAGGATCATTAATGAGAATTACTGGTTGAACAACTGAAAATGTTGATTGGTTGACTGATTACCGGAAATTTTGAGTGAATACGGAATTTAGTTGGGTAGACCAACCTCAATTTGAGAGGTGGGATCTTGGAAAAGGATCATTAATGAGAATAACCTGTTGAATAACTTAAATGTTGATTGAATGACTAATTACAGGAACTTCGAGTGAATAACGCGAACATTAATGAGAATAACTTGAAACTTATGGAGGAGGAATTTAAGAGCGCATGGGAAAAAAAGCCTTTCAAGCCAAATAAAAAAACGAAAATAAAAAAACTTAAACTTATAATGAATTAGTTGACAGTATATACAAATACATTTATTTAAAAAATAATTCAAACACAATGGGCTTTCAAACTGCAGACATGATCAAATTTGGTCTTTTAACTCATAAAAGTGCAAATTTTTAGATTCCATTCACCCTGTGATTATAGTTTTAAAGTCTAGTACTCGGTTGCAATAACCTTATCGCCTAACAAAGAATCTAGCTCAAAAAGTCTGTTACCAAAAGTCAGTTCCAAACTTTGACTGATCGCAAGTGTTATAACTGCCTTTAAATTGTAGTAAATTAAGTTAAACTCACAAACTTAAATTTTGTTTCATCTTCGATAAATACATATATCGATGTTAACATATTATATTACTTGCAATGCAGGGACATCAAGATATTTGTACAAGTTTCAACTTAAATACATTAAATACAATTTAACTTAAATGGTTTTTCAAAATCTAAGGCACAAATACCACAAAACAGTCGTCATGATACGAGTACTCAAGAAAAAACATTAAATATTTTAATATAATCAACAACAAATCGGAAACAATGACTTGTAGCCCCTCAAAAACTCAAAGTTGGCAAACTTGAACCGTATCAATTAATAAGAATTTGTCTACAAGAAACATACAATTCTGACAGTCAGTTTTCAGTTTTTCCATTCTTAATAAGTTTCAGTTTTTGTCGAAATACCCTCTCATTCTTTGACATTATTTTACTGTGATGTGCTGTACTTTACTGTACTGTTTATTCTGCAGCGCTCGACTGAGGGTTGACCTCGCTGAAGTATTTCAATTTGTCCTTGGGGTCTGGAATGATAGTGGCTTGGCCTGGCTTCCACCCAGAGGGACAGACATCTGCGTGGGTGTCTGTATACTGGAATGCCTAAAACACAATCAATATACAGTTACAGTTGGAAATGCATTCAAAATCTTCAGAAAACAAAAAATATAATACTCCGATTTGATAGCGCATTAATACATGGAGCATCTAAAACACTAATAACAACATAATTACACAAAAAAATTTCGATAAGACTAGAAAAGCCGGTTGGTCCGATCAAATTGATTAGTAAACATATACAAAAATAAGGGGAAAAATTAAGGATGACATAATTATGCGTGAGAGGTAACTATAGCAAAAAAAAAACATAAACTGCAGCAGAATTGACCTGAGTGTCATCAAAATTGAGTGTTGTCAAAGCCACCGAATTCCTAACTTTTTGCTTTTTTGGAATTCAAATCATGACCAATAGGGGGTCTGTAATCTGGTACTTCAGTTGCTAACTTTCTCTGGGGTACTCAAAAATGATTAAAAAACCGTACCGAGCCAGTAGCTCATTCCCATTTCGTTAAGTGTATATAAATGCGCCAAAAACTACGTTTCAGAGCTATTTATGGAAGGTCTCGATCAAAACGAATTTTGGCACGCACTCTCTCCTCAAAATTAGCATAAATTCACTACGAGACGTCTTTATTATAATTTAGGGTTAATTGCCCAATAAAGGAATCGTTTTGGAAAGTCCTTCGACCTGACCTGTTGGATGGTCAGAAGGTAGAGTCCCATTAGTTTGTGTGCTAATTTTTAAAGTTATTCGACGACGATATCGAAAATTGTATACAGTTTAAAGACCATTTATCCGCCAGGGAAAAAGACCAACATACGAGCTGTTGAGCTCAACACTGAAAACCGCTGTTGTGCCCCTGGTCAAGAACTACATGCAATTTGTTTGGTTATTTTTTCTAGTCTAATACAGTCTAATCATTGGTGGGGTAAGGGATGATGTGAGACTCATTTGAGTGATTTAAGCCCCATGTTTGCTAACCTGCACTAGTCTGAGTGTCTCGTCCACACTTCTGCCCACTGGCAGGTCATTCATAGTTATCTGTCTGAGAGTGCCTCTGGTGTCGATGATGAACAGACCCCTCAGAGTGTGACCCAACTCCTCCAGATACACGCCGTAGTCCTATACCACAACATCAAGAAAAACATCAGAATAAACATTTCAATCATAATCTGCAAATAATGGTTGTCTGTTGACGGGGAAGTAGCACAGAATGAACAAATCAAAAATGTTCTGGAGACGGCAAAAAATCCAGTTCAGGCAGCAATTTTGGCTCTTTTTCCTTTTCCCCCCACCTCAGACGAGCTTCAATTTTTTAGTGTAACGAGTGGTTTTACGAGGTTGATTATGAAGACCAAATATGTTTGTCATGGCCTAATTAGTCTATATGTCAATTTTCATAACAATAGGACAATGTGGTCAACAAACTTATTTGTAAAAATTTGCAGGTGGGGGGGGGGAAAGGAAAAAGAGCCGCAATTTTTTCTGAAATTCAATAATTAAAAGTCTATTTGAAATCAGTTTTCATGCTGAAACGTGTCAGCGTGAACAAAATTTCACAACAATTCTTAAATGCCGTGTGAACAATTTTTGAACAGCTTCAGTTAATAATTTAACGATGGGGTGGGAAACTGGAAAAGAGCCGAAAAATTTGCTCATATTCGACCTTTTTTCAAATTAGCGAAATATGGCTCTTTTTTCTTCCCCCCCCCCCACCCGCTACTTTTTATGATTAAAATTACTGTTAACATTGTCCGATTGTCATGAAAATTTACATGTAGACTAATTAGGCTATGGCAAACATATTTGGTCTCTATAATGAACCTTGTAAAACCACTCGTTAGACCAGAAAATTGATGCTCGTGTGAGGTGGGGGAGGGGGGAGGATGGAAAAAGAAAGAGCTCGAAATATAAATGTAACAGCGTCAAAAAGAAGCTAGCATTGCCTAAGATTAACTGAATGATAATAATAGCAAAATCAGACAGCTATTGTTCCCATCTATTCATCCAGCGCTAACTTAGGCTCTTTTCCAGTTCCCCCCCCACCTTTCAAAATACCGAGTTTTATGTTTGTTTTACGTGTTATTACGGCTAAATGCGTGATGTTACGCTGTAAAGTATGAAGAACAAATCTGTTCACAGTTGTTGATTTGTTCACCACGCCAAATTTCATTGGATTATGACAAGGTTAAATAAGCTTTTCAAAGTTGAATTTGAAAGGGGGGACTGAAAAAGAGCCCTAGCTTAGCCTGAGTATCAAACGGGGCCTAGTAAATTAGACGATAAGCAAATTAGACGGATACTACAAAAACGAAATTAGACGGAATTTATTTTTTACAGATCTCGCACTTTAGACGAAAAAGCTATGAAAAGGAAAGGGCCAACAAAATTTTTTCTTAAGAGTCAAGTTTCACAAATACAAAAAGAACATAAAATGTCAATACCTATCAAAACAATTAGTTTAAATGAACATAAAATGTCAAATCTAAATATTACAGGAGAGTTTTGAACTGAATAAATTATGCATGATTGACTTGTAAAGTTTTTGGCCACCGAAATTGAACTGTTGTATACAAACAATTTTATTTTTCTAACGCAATTTGTGTGCAAACAAAGTTAATTTCTCTCACTTTCTTCTATTTTCTTCACAATTGCAGTTTTGCAAAACCGTCTAATTTCCTTTTAAGTACCTCCGTCTAATTTGATTATCGTCTAATTTCTCAACCCCCGTAGCAAACATTCAGACCAGTTTTTGTCGCAAACCATTTTGTCGAAAAACAAACAACGACCAATTCTTAAACAAACAACAAACAATTCTTAAAAACTTGTTTTGCGCTATTTTAATTCTCGTAAAGAAAAACCGGGGGTTGAGAAATTAGACGATAAGCAAATTAGACGGAGGTACTTAAAAGGAAATTAGACGGTTTTGCAAAACTGCAATTGTGAAAAAAAATAGACGAAAGTGAGAGAAATTAACTTTGTTTGCACACAAATTGCGTTAGAAAAATAAAATTGTTTGTAGACAACAGTTCAATTTCGGTGGCCAAAAACTTTACAAGTCAATCATGCATAATTTATTCAGTTCAAAACTCTCCTGTAATATTCAGATTTGACATTTTATGTTCATTTAAACTAATTGTTTTGATAGGTATTGACATTTTATGTTCTTTTTGTATTTGTGAAACTGGACTCTAAGAAAAAATTTTGTTGGCCCTTTCCTTTTCATAGCTTTTTCGTCTAAAATGCCAGATCTGTAAAAAAAAATTCCGTTTAATTTCTTTTTGTAGTATCCGTCTAATTTGCTTATCGTCTAATTTCCTAGGCCCCAGAAAAACCAGCCAACAGCATAATTTCTTTGACTCTTTTAAGAGTTATCGGAACAGTAAGCTCACTCCGGTTCGCGTATTGTTTTTGACCCATTTACCAAAAAAAACTTATGCTGTTTCTAGCTCATCTATAATTCAGGGAAATATCATATCGTGTATTATGTAGGATACATCTGGCGGCTCTTTTCCAGTTTCCCACCCCCTCGTTAAACTACAAAATAAAACTGTTCGAAAATTGTTCACACGTCATTTTGCATGTCATAAATGTGAATATTTGTTCACCTGTTCACGCTCACACGTTTTAATGCGGTTCATTTTAAACAGACTTTCATATAATGAATTTCAGAAAATATCAAAGGGTGATGGGAACTGGAAAAGAGCCCATCTGGCTTTATGTAACAAAAGTTTCCCTTCAAAGAGAAAGTCTCATTAGATCTACGCTTGGCTGGGGATCTATCATTTTGAGTCGCGGTCAGTGTACCTTCGAGATCTGGTGGGTTGGATCGGACAGCAGAGGCAGTTTCACATCGCCCAGACCTCCTTTGTCCCTGGGAGTCTGAATCCAGGCCAGATGCACAAAATGAGAATCCACCGACATCGCCACCACTTCAGCTCCTATCTTTTTAAACTCCTCCAGACGATCATTAAAAGCCAGTATTTCAGTGGGACACACAAATGTGAAGTCTGCCGGGTAGAACACTATGATCAAGTATTTTCCAGAATAGTCTTTTAGCTTCACTTCGCGGATTTGTCCGTTCACAATTCCTGTCGCTGTGAAATCAGGAGCTGGTTTCGATATTTGCACTTTTGAGTAATACAGTTCATGACCTTTACCAAATGTGGTGCTAGGGTAGACATTACCACCTGCATATGATGAGCAGGTTTCGCTATTAGCATAAGTGGAAATGGTCATAGCAGCAACTGCTATAACCAAAGATATGGTTAGTTCCCAATGACTGTACATGCTAACCTGAAGAACGTCATTATAACATGCTAAAGTGAGGCAAATTTACACAGCCCAGAAAAATAACCAAAAAATGCATGTAGTTCTTAAACAGGGAACAACAGCGGTTCTCCTTGATGAGCTAAATGACTCGTATCTTGGTCCTTTCTCTTGTGTATTAAGCGTCTTAATAAAGTCAACAGAGACCAAGTTCACAATTTCGTATCGTATACAAGCAAATAAAAATTTTAAAAACTAAACACAAAAATGGTTCAGCTTTGCATCGGACTCTCGCTTTTTTCCTTGTTAAAACGATTTATTCCAATGGCGAAGATTTGAGATCTGAAGGTTAAAGTTTCAATTTTGAAATTGATTACAAGACGCACGTGGTAAAATCTGATGTCATCGTTTTGTTTTAAGTAACACAAAAATGTCAGATACTAGCAGTAAAACATGCAATTGAATTGGAGTGCTTTTTCATTGGATAACGCATCCGATTTTGCTTAAAATTCCACTAGAAAAAGACGGGTTTTTCGGTCTTGTCGAGACTGCGTTTTGTCCGAACGCAAAAAATTTCGAAATTATTTGACCGGCTCTTTTTCCTTTCCACACCCCCCCCCCACCTCACTCAAACATCAAATTTATGGTCTAACGAGTAGCCCCCCCCCCACCTCACACGAGCTTCAATATATATGTGTAACGAACATTAACAAAGTTTACTCTTTTTGACGTTTTAGAGGCTCAAAATTTTTTTGAACGACAAAATTTTTGAACACAGGCGAAGCTGTGCTTCGCAAACACTAGTCAAACACTTAACAAATCACGGACGTTTAATAAGAAATAAAGCAGAGAACAGATGCTATGACATTTCCAATGCTACAGATCGTGATTATAGCAAAAGTGCCACTAAATAAGTGAAGACTTTTATTTGCGATTTTGGTTAGAAAAAAGAAGGTTCGTACGTATACACCGCCGCTAGCAAGCTTGATAGTGCAGCATTCTACATTTGCCCCAGAATTGAAGTAAGTGAACTTTCACCTAGTTCATTAACACTCCAATCAACCTACCAACTTATGTCATTTCCGGGCGATGGTATTCAGTTTTTTTCAGCAATACTTGGTTCAGATGGCTCAATTCATTATAAATGCTAATTCTTGCCAAAGATTGCCAACTCGTCGGTTAGATTACACATTCTTGCAAAACAGATTTTAAAAGGATAAAATTCCAAGTTGAGCTAATCTACAAAACAGATATAATTCTTTATTCTGCTAATTACAACTTAAGTTACTGGCTGCGCATATTGTTGAAATAAAATTGAACATAAATGGGAAATGTTTGTTGATTATCTTGATTTACTCCACTGCAACGATGTTGGGTTCATTTGATACAAAAACGCTAGTGGATCCTTCGGAGTTAGAGCGTTCGTTATTTGACACTATTGGTTCTCTTGACTCAATCATTGTTCTACATACTGCGCACTGCTCCAATTGGAGTGCACATATCATACATACGCCCCTAAAACACAATCAAAATCTTAGTCAAGAGCAGGGTGGGTTCAATGGGCGGAGCAGTCGCTTCTCCACCATCGGGGATTCGACCCTGCGGCAGTAGGAATTTATTCGATGCTCCTTCCTCAGGTATTCGACCCCCTGACCACCCATAGGAGGGAGCGCGCACAAAACGCAATATTTTGGTCAAAACCGTCCAAAAATGCCTAAAATCGCCCTGCTTTTTCAGGCGCAGAAAATTTGGTCTACATAGAGTCGTTATAGTGATTTGAGATAGCTCGGAATATCAATGTCTTCGACATAAGGTCGACAAAATCTTCATTTAAAAAAATCCGCCTCATCTAGAAAATCCTAGATCCGCGTCTGCCAACAGGTATCAATATCAGCTTTCAGTAGTTTCGAAAATTATTTATAATGAGCTCTCAAGTTAAAATCTTTCGACACAAAATATCGGATCGCAGAACTCGCATAAGTTCCGCATAGAACATCTTAAACCATTTAAAAACACGCTCTTACAATGCAGTTCAATGATTCTTGACTTTTTCTCGATCAATCTAACTTAAATCGAACAACATAATTGATCTGACTAATTATATAGTCTAAATGATATCTTTTAAGAAATAATCGCACACTGAGTTGAAAAACGTTAATGATTACCAAGAAACCAAAAAAACTAAGCAATTGATGAAAATTTCAACTATCTTTGCATCATATCAAAGTATACAAATTTCAAGACACTTATCATAAAATGAATTCAATTTGATTAAATTAGTTCGATATATTTTCATTCAGGGAAATCTCGAAATTAAATCCACTTTTAAAACAAAATGTGCGAATATAGTTTGCGTCGTTCTCTTTATGTATGTATCTGCTGTGAAATGAATTCGAAAAGCTCGATTTTTAATGACATGTTTGGTATCATATCCAAACGAATTCATGTTGAAGAGACAAGATTCTTTCCCATTGTAGACCCCAGTAAATTTTAGCCCCAGAAAATAGCCAACAGGCAGTTGGAGAAGTTTCAATGAATTCAATGAGGGCGAAAAAAAAGACTTTTCTTACAAAACTTCATCCATGGAATTTCAAGAAAAAATATAACACTTTAAAGATCTTTGAACTCTAAGGAATTTTTTTGATCAACACTTTTTTTTGATAAGGCTGATCCTATGTGAGAAATCCGGTTCAATATACATTTTTTCAAATCAGCTGAAAAAAAATCCTTTGAGCAAATTAATTTTAATTTTATTTGACGCTTCAATTTATAAAAATTTAAGACACCGTGACTGTCAAGGGTCTTTCATGGTTGATACTTTTTTGATAAAACTGACCCAATTTGAGAATTCAGAAAGTTTTTCATACTAGAAGTCAGTCAATTTTTTGGCTTTTGCTGTTTGGTAGAGATTACTACGCTTACTAGTGTAATAAAAAACAAAAAGGTAAAAAACCATTAAGTTAAACTTTTGCTAGGTACTGGGAATCGAGCATCCGGCCAGGAGCTTGAAAGCCTCACTTCTTGCAGTTGCGCCATTTTCGCTTGACAGTAGACAAAAATCAGCCATCCGTAAAGCAAACAGAACAGATGCCATTAAATTGCTGATTCTATGCAGTAAATATGCTATCGAATGAGCACTTTTATAAGCGAGTTGGGCTAGAAAAAGTGGATTCGTAACATAACACTACGCTTGCTAGCTCGCGTGGAAAACAAAAGACTTTTAATGAAAAACCATACGACATGGGGAGGGTGTGGCTGACTTGGGATCTGCAAAGGGAAAGAGACCTTAAAAAGATACAAAGGAAGGCAAATTGATTATGAGCACAAACTTTGGGAAGGTTTTAATTAAAAAAAACACCATACGACTTGAATTAGTCAAAATTGATCGTGTTGGATTCATTTTTTCATTTAAAATAATACTCAGCATAGCTATTTAGTGGGAACTTCTGATACCCTTAGTCTATCCCCTGCAAGTTAAATAGATTTTGATAGTTTGAAACTATTAAATTGACGCATAAAGAAAAAAAAGAAATTTGTTTAACTCCAGTTGTATTGTTTATAAAAACAGAAACCAATTGTTTCTTCTCTATCTATAACTTACGTGTGTCTACATGGCAGAATGCGCGTGTCGGCCTCGTTCGTGCAACATATGAAACAGATTGGTTTACTCTGTCTGGATTGATCCCCACCACCGCTCGTCTTTGCTTCTTCTGCTTGCCTCTCTTGTGACATCTCCTCCAACATCCTTTTCTGCTTCACATGTCTAGCAGGAAAAAACTTCACTTAAGCACAAACGGTTAGCAGATTTTTACTTCAGTTAAAAAACCAGCTTTTATTAGCCAGTTATTAAATCAAACATTAACTGTTAATAGCGAAGATTTACGAAAACACGATGAAACTTCTGTTCTACAAATTAAAATACTACCAAAAAAAAAACTCTCAAAACAATGTAAGTCCATTTCATTAAAAATTATGAAAACATTTCAAAATATTGATTATCACAACCCAGTTTACAAAAAAAACACTAACCGCGGCAGAATACATTTGGTCATTGCTTGTTTCTCATTTCCAAACTGCTGACAGGCCGCGATCAGACCCTTGACAGTCGGCCTTCTCTTCTCGTCTGGTGGAAACTTAAAAGGACGGTCTCCAAAATTGAACACACACTGTTGGAATGACATGAAACTGGCAGCCGCGTAGAAGCCACTCTTCGCGAACACAAAAATGTCTTTTTCTGGGTCTAGCTCCTCGCCGTTCATTGAGAATACAATTTCTTCGTGGTCTAAATCAATCAGGAAACCTGAAACAAACGGAAAAAATGTCTATCGCAGACTTGCAAATTTCTCCCCAAAATAGTCGAATGATCACAATTTGTTAAATTTAGCCTATCATGTTAGTCTGAGAACAGTTAACCAATCAAATTATACAAAAAGAAAGGAAGTTGAATTTTATGATAGAATTTAGTAGCGGATACAGGTTGGTAAGGAACAATTGCCGATTTCCAACTTGTCGCTAAACTAAAACCTAGCACAAAAAAAAACAATTAAGTTAACCTAAAGACATGTAGATTTGTTTTTCAAAACGGCACAACGCGCCTTTCGTCAGAATAATTCATAACGCTTGCTATTCTCAAGCCTAAAGAAACACCAAAATCAGAGTCTTTTCCAGTTCCTCCTTGTTAGGTTTTGCTGAAAAACGATTTACTTGATTCAAATCAACACGTTTTTTGCTGCAGTGTATTTTGCATTTTCATGTCAGTTTGAACAAGTAAGCAACAAATGTGAACCAATTTTGTTGCATCTAAATTGCGATGTGAACAACTTTAAATTGTAATTTCAGAGGGATTGGAAATTGAAGAAGATCACATGATCATAACACTAGCCTATGTAGTCTCCTGGCTTCCAGGAGTCGTGGTTGTGACGTGTGGTGACCGCGTTGTGCCATATGAATTGCCGGCAGCCATCGTAAGCACATGATAATTCGTCATCACCTACCCCAAACCCATCCTGCAAAAACATCATGTATTTAACACACGAGCGACAAAACATAAAAAGACGAGTCGCATTTGATTACTGGGTATCCCCAAGTCATTAGCGGATTATCAAGGATTGGCTGACCATAAAATAAATTGTTCTAAGAACACGAAAATTCTACAACTGCCTCAAAATACTTGCCCTAATCGTTTTGAAAAGATTTGCAGTATGACACGCAATGAAGTTAATGTCCTTTAGTTTCTAGAGACTAAAATAATAGAAAATAATAAGCTAGCAATCAAATAAAAAAGTGCAAGCGCCTATTTAAGTCGTGAGCTTTTTCAGGTGTTTTGTTCAGTTCTTCACGCTCAATTCATTTTTTTGCGAGAAATTACGCTCCAAGTAACAAAATATATATTGTTACTTAGAGCGTTATTTCTCGCAAAAAAAACGAATCGAGCGTGAAGAACTGAACAAAACTCCTGAAAAAGCTCACGACTTAAATAGGCGCTTGCACTTTTGTATTTGATTAAGAAAAAACTAACGTGATTTGAAAAGCGACTGTTCTTCGTTGCCCAGCCGATCTGCATGATTCCCGGGGTCACGACCTCCACTTCATAAAACCACACACCCTTGTCTACGTGAACAGTTGACCTTACACTTTCAAACGAGTAGGCGTCACATCTAGCGGTGAGTCCGTCAGCCGATATCTTCAGGTACTCTGAGACGTCGCTGTCGTTTAACATTGCCCCATTGGGAGGAAAGCGGGACCCTTTGCCCCTTGATTCGAGATTAGAAAGCACCACTTCATATGTGAACGCCCGGCCTTCTTTCAAGACTATAACACATAAATTACAAGTACAACTAACAATCAGTTGGAAAAATGTTAACCAACAACTTTTGAAACTAGCGTCACAAAATTCACTTCAACTAAACGTGTAGAGAATCACATTTTAGCGCAATTTCCACGTGGTTTAATAACTATTAAAAATGAATTTTGAACACAGAGGCGAAGCAAAGCTTCGCACCACTTTCGATCAGAAACGCCACATCAGAACCTTCGTATAAGATACGTATGAAGCTCACGGAGATAGTGGTATTAAAACATTGCCAACATACAGTTGGAAAAGAGTCCATGAACTCAAGGAAACAGAAAAAAATACTGGCTCGAATTTCAAAGAAAAAAACTACATGGCCTTGAGGCTTCTTGACCTAAAGAGCAATCTATGATTGACAGCTTATCGAAAAAAAATTTAACTTCATTGGAGAAAACTGGATCAAAGGGTAACTCTTTTATTCCGTTGTGAAAGCTGAAAATTAAATTCCGCTTTCAAAACTAGAAATCGATTACAGTTTCCGTGACCTTTACACTTTTGCTCTTGGATAGTAGAACTTGCCTTTCTTTTACAAAGGAAGAAGTGAGCTTCGTAAAAAAATCAAAAAACAAACAAAAAAATCAAATTTTAGCGTGAACTTATTTAAGACTTTCAAGAAAAAAAACAATACAAAATCATTAAAGACCTATAATTAGGCCTTCACTACGTTCAGAGCTCTTAAAACACGATTGATTATTTTTGAAATATTTCCAAAGAAAAATTATCATCTTAGAGTTGTTTGAATTTAGGAGGCTCTGAGAAAATACTATAAATGGGCATTTTTCCATGAACCTAACCCAATTTGAGAAAACTGGACCAAGACGTGATTTTTCTATTCCGCCGATAGTCAAGTTAAAACCCACTTTCCAAACAGTAATACAATTTTCACGCGCCATTTCTAACTTCGTTATTGCAGAGCGTAATTTTTCTTCCTTTGGGTAAATTTTGAATTGAACTCAAAAACAAATCACCAGTAGAACCGTGAAAATCGAATTTGAGCGTGATCAACTTTTCATGGAACAAAAATGAAAACGACCCGATAAGTGATTTCACTTTGTTCATGAAAAAGTAAATCATTTATATTTAAACACAGAGGCGAAGCTGCGCTTTGCAAACACAAGCAGGAAAACGACAAAAATTAGCTGAAAACGAAATTTTAAAAAAAACTAAAAAGACGTATTGAAAGTAAAAATACACACCAGAAGATTTGTAGTCTCACCTCCTCAGATCTGCGATACGTGCCCTTGAAAATTTGCTAATATTAGCTACCAATAAAGCAGCTATATATGCTAATAATTTGCCAATGCTTCAACTGTGTAAAATCATTACTTATCGAATGTCGAAGACAGGCTATCACAAAGCGGAAAACGTGCCCCAAAAGTGGCACCACTATTTTCGACTCAGGTTGGACAAAAAGAATAGTCGTACTATTACACTACGCTCACTAAAGCTCGCATAAATAATAAGTAATTTATAAATTGAACAAAATCGATCCTCAACTTACAGATATTGTCCAGCAACCATTGTGCACAGAAGCCAACTTGCTGAGCCATGTAGTCTTTTGAGCTGTACAAAGTTTCCAGACGTGCCAACAGATTGGCAACCAGCAGTTTCTCAAACTGGGACTTGTTTTTGGCTAAAGCAAACAAACATCGAGGTCTCAAAACGCATCTTGCACTCTTACAGGGCTTTGAACAACGTTTTTTTTGTTCAAATGACTTTTTTTTCAAAGGAAACTCATGAGCAAACTTCGACTTACAAAAGAAGACTTTGACAATGAAATAATAAAAAGAAATAAAATTGCAAACTTAAAAAAATTAAGAGAAAAAGGAAGAATTGACTGTTGAAAAAGAGTATTCACCTGTTTTTGCCACTTTCTCAATTGCAACTAGGGCATGTAAAGTTGTTTCATAAGCGACCTTTGGTTCCAGACATGAGAGCAAGAAGTCTAGCACATCTCGTGACAGGATGGCTTCTGCATTCGGGCCAGCCAGCTTGTCAGCCAGACATCCCAGCACCGTACACACGTTGCGCCACTTAGCACCATGTGGCCCGTTCAACTTGCCCACTTGTTTGCTGCCCAGGTTGAGATGTTTCACAAGCCTAAGTCGCAGCCAATGTTCTCGATATCAGTTTACGCATAAAAGCTTCTAAATGAATTTTTATTTGCCAAGAAATTAGCCAAAACATTTTTGGCAAATAGTTTGATTTTTAGTTGTAAAAATTAATTAACAACGTTAATCAGTTTCTCAATATTCAGCAGACTTTAGTTTTGGCAACGTCGGTTCGTGAAAGATGATACGTAGCTACATTTAAGAAACAATGGCAGAACTCACGGCAGGGTCTCATGACAAACAGTCCGATTTGTAAAAATTCTGGAAACTGGTTCAAAAACTCCAATTACTTTCAGCAACCTTGCCATGGCTAGGGAAGTGCACATTTCACTTCAATTGAGCAAAACAATTAAATTACTTGAACCTGGAGTAGAAAAAAATTTGGATTGGTTTCCCCATCTTCCTGTATAATCTATTAATCGCAATTCTGCCATGTCGTAAATCGGATACGTTACTTCCTCTTAACTCTCTCGCTTTACTTACTCAAATTAACATTAAAATGCCCAAGTACAAGACTCCCTCTAACTAATTGGCCTTAGTTATCAATGCTCTGGAATCGGGAAAAAAACTATCAATTAATTGCAGCCAATTTATTGGTCACCAATCGATTTTGCCCAAGCGCTAATCATGAAAATAGGCGACGATATCAAAAGAATGTTACAGAGAAATTGAATTCAGATGATAGAACATGCTATTGTAGCGTAATTTACACTATCTACGAACAATGAAAGAAACAATACCTGTTGATTGTGACCTTGTTAGGAAGTGAGCAATCATCAATGACAATCATGATGACAGCACTTCCAACTGCCTCCTCTGCGGGCACTGAGTCGACCAGAGCCATCACCACTGCAATCCAGCCATTCTCCACCTCAGCCACGTCATGCAGTCGAAGCATACACAGGGGTGGCTCACGAGTAGGGATCTCGTGTAGATTATTCACCTGAATAACAGAATGGGCATAAAATAATATAAACGATTTCCCCTAAGAGATAATAAACAAATTCCAACTTCACAATTAATAAACTTTCAAGAAAAAAACTTATATTTCCGATAGGTAAAAACATTCATGACAGAATACCCAAAAAAATAATCAATGAAGATCTCATTGGAACAGCTAACGAGAACATGGGTCTACTAACATCTGCCTTTAATAGCGCATCAATGGTAGTGTCATGAAACAAAAGAGAAAAAGAAAATTAAGTTTTTAAGTTACTTTAATATCGCAAGTACATCACGATTTTTGAAACAAAATGTTAAATTGCGTTTTAACCGAGGCAAACACAGCATTACGGCCAATGTTTTGACAAAAGATGTCTCACTGGTTCTAAACAGCTCTCTTTAAGTTTTATTTTTTTTTTGTCGGAACGAACTCTTCGAAAAACATTTAGCAAGCCATAGTATGGGTTGCGAAAAATTAATTTTTGAGACCACATTTGCCATGAGTATCTTAACATCACCCCACCATTGAGTCAAGAATGTCAAAATTGAAGAACTTTTTTTGATCCAAATTCTTCGACCTAGATCTGAGCCTGAATTGTTAAATACTCGGCCATGATCTAGGCCTAGTGTTTCGTAGTGCTGGTTTCACTAGTTATTTACAGTCTGATTAAAATCTTTAGGAAACCCTTTAAATCTCCGGTCCTTACCTGGACCTGGTTACATTTCAAAAACTCGTAAATTTCACTCCATTTTCTGGAAGGCCAAAAACTTTTTCGGAAAATCACGCTACAAAAACTTGCATGTACCACCGACGAAGTAATCACGATCCCTACAAAAGCAGAGTATGTGACATATATGCAGTAGGTTAGTATCATTTCTATGATCCTTCTAAATTAATCATTCTGTTTCCACAGTTCGCAAACACTAGCGAAAACACGACAAAAAGCATCTCTATAAATTGCAATCATAAAAATTAGATAACCCTCGAATTAGTAAAAAAAAAATTGGACTGCATTGAGATTCGAACATGCCACCTGGAGATTAAACGTCTCACATACTAACCACTCAGTCATGGAAGCTTAATAGGTACCAAACACTAGCCACAAATAAATCAGAGAACAGATGCTAGTGAAATTTCTAAATTAGCTTGCACTTTTAATGAACACTTTTATTTGCGAGTTCGGTTAGAAAAAAATGAAGGATCGTAATAATATACTAAGCTAAGGAAAAAGTCTAGTACCCGTTTGCAAAACCCTTGCTTATGGCAAGGTTAAAAATCGGAGTTGATTAGTAGTGCACCCAAAATAAACAAAACAAACTTCGAACTGAAAGAGTAATTAGACCGCAAACATGCTCAAAATATGTCTGTTTGCAGTCCAACCAACGACAGTTTTTTACGGAAAAAATTCTAGTACCCGATTGCAATACTTGCCCTAGCGAGTGAAACTTGAAATGATTTCCGAATGAATTATCCATCTTTATGCGTGATCTCAAGGCAGACAAATACTATCAAGTGATTTACCCCTTTTAGAGTATGCTTCACATGCATATCGATTGAACATGTTTCCCTGATCGATGACACGGACATTCGCTCAAGATTAGGCGGCAGAGGACTCCTGGCCACATTCAATATCCAGATAGACTCCGACTCCGCGTCTGACACCACAAAATCCCCCTGAGGCCTGACTGCATTTGCTTCCGTGTAGCTATTGTTGCGCCTACTCCTCCTTTGTCTGGAATCTGTAGAGCTGTCTTTAAAACATACGGTACCCATTGCTCACTTCAAGGTCTCTGCAAGATGAGTTAGAGTCTCATATGGTGCGACTGAGGAACATGTTGCTTTCTTACAAATTTTAACTGAAAACAACGTGTACCAGGAAACTAAAAAAATAATGACAGCCGGTATTTTAAGGCTATTTCTGTGGGCTCTTAAACTCCGCATCGTGAAATTTAAGCTTTGTAGAAGCTGATGTATCTGAAACACTCGCCCAAAAAAAAACACTTTTTTCACGATCGAATAATCGAATATCTGAAATGAAGTGTTGTATTGTAGTTAAATAAAAAATCTAACTAAATTACATGGGAACGAAAGATCAATAAAAACTTCTTTAAATAAACTTAAATTCAAGCAATATTTCCATAGGAAGCCACAGTTTGTCGTCCAAACCAAGATAACGGAAAAAAAATTAAAAACACTTAAATCAAAAACTTCAATTCAGAAAAGAATGATAGAAATGAACAGAATGAAATGTACGAATGGTTTAGCACCTAAAGCGCAGCCCGAATTGCCTCGTTGAATTGTCAGGTTGAGGCGTTGTCTCAAGTACCTGTGTGAATTGGGTTCTCCGGTGACAGACCTGATTCTGTTGGCTAGCTGTTGCAGAAAATCCAGACTTGTTTTGCCGATACCTAGATTTTCAACTGCAATTGACTCTAAGATGATCCTTCTTGGAAGATCTGAGTAAAAACGTCGCTTTCTTACCTCAGCATCTATTGCTACGCTTGAACACGATAACATACATGAATTGATGTTGGAGTTGGCAACTCTGCTAAAAAAACGTAAGAACACAAGGCGTCAGAGTTAAACCATCAACGCGTCATCCATCGCGTTGGAACTCCTTGAACTGTTACGTCCGATAGATTCAAAAATGCTCGTGAAACCAGCGGTCTTCAGAAAATGTTCAATGAGTACGTTGCACTGTGTGGAGTGGACCTGTTTAATTTTGAGACAAACTAGAGCATAGAAACCATCCGTATGGCCTATAGTGCCACGCTTAGAGAGAGAGAGAGAGAGAGAGAGAGAGAGCGCGTAAGAGAGAGAGAGAGAGAGAGAGAGAGGAGAGAAAGAGAGTTTAGGCTGGTGTGTTTTACACAAGGGTTTGCACCCATCCATCACTTGGCGGCTGAGCTGACTTTCTTCACCGGGTTGCTATGTCCACAGTTGCATATAAAAGCCAAGGAACATAAGTAGACTTCAGAGATCTTTGTAGAAGTAATTCCCGTATAATTTTTTTTAAGTACGGTTTGTCAATTTGTTCAAGGTCAATTTTTCATTTTTCTGTATTATATTCAATAATTGACTGGTTTTTTTCCAAAAAATTTCGTCAGCCTTTCTTGTTCGAGTTTTTGTTATCAACGTTAGATCTTTTCGTCTTGTTATTAAAATATCGACATTGGTTTCGTATTCGACTTAATCGGTAGTTTGATGTTGTAGCTGCCTTTAAACAATGATACTAGCATTAACAGATCATGTAGTTCAAAGTAATACGATAATGGAAGCAGTCTCAGTTCAGTTTATCTTTGTTTGTAGCTCTTATCCCGAAGCTGGTGATGCATAACTAATTACAGGTATTACATATCCTACGTACGCATTGAGATCAGTGTTTTTAGCAGCAAGAGAGGAGATGTTTCACTTTCGATAGATCTTTCTTAACTTTTCTGGTATCGAAGTTAAAAGCTTGAAATCATCCGCATAATCAAACGCTTCACATTCTGTCATTTACTTTGTTAGGTCGTTCACATATATTATGAAAAGTAGCGGGCCGCGTAAGGAACCGTGAGGTACACCACTAGTGTCAGGTACTGTTTCAGAAATGCAGTCATTTATTTTAACATACTATTGGCGGTAAGATAAAAAATAGCAAGAAAATTACCTCCAATGTCTAATTGTTCAACTTTTTGGAGCAGCAAGTCGTGTGGAACACTATCAAAAGCTTTTTTGAAGTCATGGTATAACACAAAAAGTTAGTTTTCATTTTCATCGCATTCTTTGTATAGAAGGTCTGAAACAAAACTAAGTAGCTTTTAGCCTAATTGTTGTGTTAAACTTATTAAATAGATTTTTGGCCGGTCCGGGTCCGAGCTAACACCCATGCAGCAATCACAACAAGCAGACACATGACACGAGTGACGAACTATCCATGCATACGCTGCAAGAAGACCGTTTCCAAGAGGGTATATTCGATACAATGTGCTGATTGCCTTTTCTGGATTCATCAAAAATGCACCGATATGACGATAGCGGGGATCAAACGCAGGTCCGGACATCCCTGGCATTGCGGGTGCACTGATATCCAAGACCCTTTTACCGATAACACGACGGTCGACGGAAACGATGGAGACTTGGGCGAGGAGACGACGACGAGGAGATACGAGGTTTTGGAGCGGAAGATATCAGAAGTGGACTCACCCAAGCCATGGCGGACCTCCAACTATCCGAAGATGATGCAGATATCGGATTTCACTTGGTGGACGCCCAGCAGTTGCTGCAGAAGTACCTGTCAAGTAAGCCGCGTATACTCAAATGCGTCCCGAAAGCAAGTCGACGACAATTCCGTGACATTCTCTGCAAAACTCTCAACGATATCGTCGAACATCCCAACGATGAAGAGTTATGGATCAAGCTATTCACACTTCCTGGTCATTGCTTGCGACAACCAGACAGAGGAGGGTCCGGCAGAAGGAAGTCCCTGGGTCAGATTGTCAACAGTCAAATCGAAAAGTTTTCCAAACTGCGTGAATATGTGATCGAATTAACTAAGAAACAGAAGAAACCAAGTAAGACATCTGCAAATGAGAAACTCGCGCGAGCAGTTTGCTCCAAGATTGACGAAGGCGACATCAGAGGCTCAGTGCGTCTTTTAACATCCGACTGCGGAATAGCTGGTAATGACGAAACAACATTGAAGCTGTTACAGGAAAAACAACTACCTGCACCGTCTGATAGACGTCTTTTCCCGGACGCCAACTGTGACCCTCTCTCATTGACTGTGGATGATATTCGGAAAGGGGTGATGTATTTTCAACCTGGGTCAGCCGCTGGAATAACTGGGTTGAGACCCCAGCACCTGAAGGATTGCTTGGGAAAAGGTGAAGACATTGAACAATTTCTCCGCACTCTGACCACATTTTGCAATTTACTTCTTGCCGGTAACGTGCCCAGAAATATAAAGCCGATTATCGCCGGAGCGAACCTATGCGCTTTAGCGAAGAAAGAAGGTGGTATTAGACCAATAGCTTCTGGGGACGTTCTCCGTAGACTGACTGCCAAGTGTGCTGCGAAGATTGCTGCCAAACGCCACAACAACTTGTTTCTCCCACATCAGTTGGGATGTGGTGTCATGGGCGGAGCTGAAGCTGCTGCACATGCGCTGCGTAAGTTCGTTGAAGACGCAAGTAATGGAACTGTGCTGCTCAAACTGGATTTCAAGAACGCTTTCAATTCGATACGAAGAGACGTTGTAGCCGAGAAACTACACGAACATATGCCAGAGCTCAGTAGTTTTTTCGACCTGTGCTATAGCGAAACTACGTGTCTATCATTTGGCGAATTTTTGATAGACTCATCAGAGGGAGCACAACAAGGCGACCCATTAGCCGTCTTTTTATTCTGCCTGGCAATCAACAACATTCTGCAGACCTTGATCTCAAATTTCAAATCCGGCTATGTGGACGACATAAGCATTGGTGATGTCATGTGGCAAAACGTCCTCAAAGACCTCGAGATGGCGATGACCGAAGGGGTCAAGATTGGAATGGAATTGAACCTGAAAAACAAGTCCGAACTCATCGTTTTCTGTGATGATGCACGAGAGAGGGATTCGATTATCCAATCTTTCCTGGCAGTTTTTCCTCATATTACCATCACTGAACCCACAGATTTAGTCCTCTTAGGTGCTCCTATCGGCGAAAACGCACAAGAAGCCGTTGTTAATGAGAAACTTGATGAACTCAGTCGAATGTGCAGTCGATTGCGATCCCTACCTTCCCATGTTGCTTTCTTTCTTTTAAAAAACTGCTTTTATATCCCGAAACTGATGTACATACTGCGAACCTCAACTCTTTTCCTTAAAACTACTTCCTTACACCGATTTGACGAGTGCATTCGAAATACATTGCAGGCTATTTTCAATGTGACGATTGACGATCCCCGATGGGAGCTCATGACACTGCCTTGCAAGCTGGGCGGAATGGGAATTATGCAGGTACCCAAACTCGCCATTGCAGCATATGCGTCATCTGTATTCAGCACTCTCGACATTTGTAATACCATATATGCTAGCGAACCCACTACAGAATCACTAATTCAAGATGCTATCCAACGTTGGCGAAACAACGTGAGCACCGACGTGCCTTTGCCAGAACGCAAATATAAGCAAAAAAAGTGGTCACTACCAATGATGCTTCAACAGGCCGAGCTGCTCAAGGATTCAGGAGACAGTGCCCGCTTGAATGGATTAATGTGTCCCGGAGCTGCTGACTGGCTCAACGCACTACCTTCACGATCACTCGCACTCCAACTTAGTGATGATGAATTTCGCATTGCCATTGGATTTCGACTTGGCGCACCAGTCTGTACACCACACAAGTGCTCTTGTGGCGATATAGTCGATTCCTACGGCAAACATGCGTTAGTTTGCAAAAAGAGTAGATCAGTTCATGCCAGACACTCTATGGGCAATCACATCATTCATAGAGCGTTCATCCAAGCCAATATTCCATCGAAACTCGAGCCGCAAGGACTATTCCGGTCTGACCGCAAGAGACCCGACGGACTGACACTGGTGCCATGGTCACATGGGCGAGCGTTGGCATGGGACTTTACATGTGTCCATAGGCTAGCCCCCTCTTACACGCAACTCGCTGGTAAAGAGGGACCAACTGTGGCAGATGCGGCCGAGACCCGTAAACGGTCAAAATACGAATCAATATCTGAGTCTCACATCTTCCAACCAGTTGCAATTGAAACCCTTGGAGGACTGGGAACCGATACGCTGCGTTTCGTCACTAGCCTGGGCAAGAGAATAACACAGGCTACCGGGGACGACAGAGCGACTCTTTTTCTGCGGCAGAGACTTGGGATTGCTGTTCAGCGGGGCACTGCAGCTTGTGTCCGCGAGACTCTGGTGGTGGAAGTCGATGACCCGATTGGCGCCGACTTCCGGCGATAAACAAGTTCAAACTGTTTTAATCTCCATTTAAAATGTTGCTTTTCATATGACTCTGGTGCTTATTTTTACCATTTCAAACTTTTTTTATATGTGTCTGAATTCACATTCTTTTCCCCCCAGTAGTTGCG